AGGAGGCGGCGGCGGGCGGCGGCGGCGCCCCGCGGAAGGACGGTCGCCATGGCCGCGCTCGGCGACAGGCAGCGGGGCCCCGGCACGGCCCGCCCGCGCCGCCCCGGAGGAGGAGCCGCGCAGGGGCCGGGCACGAAGCAGCGCCTTGGCGGGGAACGGCGGCGGTCCCGGCTGGGGAGCTTCATCTTCCCTGGCAGGGATTGCAGCGTACGGGGTTGGGGGGGGGGGGGGGGGTTGGCTTCTGCTTCCCGGAGTCCCGTTACTCCTGAACCATCGAGACGCCCCTCCCCGGAGGGAGAGGGGAGGGTTATAATTATAGGATTATGGAACGTCCTGAGTTGGAAGGGACCCACAGGGGTCATCAAAGTCCGACTCTTGGCTTTGAGGACACCCCACGAGTCACACCACGTGCTTGAGAGTGTTGTCCAAACCCTTCTTGAACTCATTCAGGCTTAGTGCTGTGCCCACTTCCCTGGGGAGCCTGTTCCACTGCCCGACCACCCCTCTGGGTGAAGAACCTCTTTCTAATATCCAGCCTAAACATCCCCTGAGCCAGCTTCATGCCGTTCCCTCAGGTCACTAGAGAGATCAGTGCCTGTCCCCACACTTCCCCTTGTGAGGAGGTTGTAGGCTGCTATGAGGTCGCCTCTCAGTCTCCTCTCCCCCAGGCTGACTTGAGCTTGATGGCTTGGCTGTGGGAGCACCAGCCCCTGGGGGCCTGTGGGCACACTGGCCATCGACTGTCGTTTCTGACCGTGGGGTCCCATGACAACTGTGGTCAGTCTCTGGCACAAGGGCCATGTGAAGCCCCTGCTTGGTGCCACCATCTCACTGGGAACCAGTGTGGCTGTGCCACATGTGCCAGCCTTGCCCGCAGGCTGAGTAGTGTCAGGAGCTACTGTCTTTTTATTAATACTGCTTTGACAATTGGCTTTAATTTTTTTTTATGTGAAATGTGATGTAGCTGTTGTAAGGCACGTGCAGCATGAGCTGGGCAAACAGTGGTAGGATGCTCTTTGCTTTGCTATTGTACAGAGAAATCTCACTGCTGCTGTGCAGTGATGGCATTTACACTGCTCAAACCCCAGAGATATGACAGAATTCAAGAGGGGAGAACACCCATAGATCATTTCTTTTTTTATAAATTGCTTTATTTGAGGTAAAAAAAAGCATTGGTATAAAATAGCCTTTCAAATATGGCAATTGTTTACTTGCTGTGTCAGCAGTATGTATGAAAGAAAAGACATGCTCCGTAACCTACATTGCAAAGGTCACAGCGCTACTGCTCCAGGCTTCTGAAAACCACAGTTTGAGCCAGCATCATGGCTGGTCTGAAGATTTGGTCTGTTTTCCTGATTATACTGTACCATTTCTGTCAAAGATGTATCCCATGTGGAATTTCAACACATATTGAAATAGGTAAGACATGTTCAGAATGAATTTTCATGTGTTTTGGGTTGCTTGTAAAGATAAGTAAATTCAAGTTCAGCTGGAAAGCAAAGAAAAGAAATAATATTAGAGCAGCGAGCAGTCTACATCATTAAAAAAATGTGAATAACACATAGGGTAGATGAGTAGTTTGATTTTGGAGTTTGAAACTTTACTGTTTTTATAAGCAAAATGCTTGAATTGATGTGAGTATTTTTCCATCTTCTAAAGCACCGGCATTATGTAACTGGAATGTTTTTGTCTGTGAGTCTTACGCAGACAGAGTTTGGTTTGGAGAAAGAAGAGGAATACTTTAGGCAATTCATGGGATTGTTATTTTTAAACTAAAGCATAACACAGGTCATTTGTGGTAGATCTGTTTTCAAATCACTGTGTATTAAAATAAAATGCATAAAATAGTGAAATGCCGTAATGTGTTTGTATCATAATGAAAATTTTGTTCTCTGTCTCTTTCTGGTAGGTTGCTCTCTGTAGCCTGAACAGCCTAGATTTGTAGAGAATGAAGGAGGGAACTGAGTGAACATGAAAATGGAGAATATTTCTGGTTTTAATTTCTTGTTTGCCTATGTTATTTTTAAAATCTGGCTTCTGTTACAGTTATTGCAAGTACAGACACGAGTAGTCTGAGGTTATTTTGAAACATTTACTCATAATAATTGACAGTTTTAATTGTTTGTTCTTCTGGTTTAGTTTCTAAATCTATTGCTCAAACAGATGGTAAAACATAGGATGTTGCCTCTATTCAGGTGATCTTCTCAGACTTTAATACTGAATGCATGCAACTTTGAAAAAGTTAAAGGCTGGGATTATTCATGGCATTCGAGACAGAGTATGTTCCCTTACTGAGTGTTGTTCCCTCAGTCAGCATCCTGGAACCATTTGCTTTGCCTGAGGGTGTGTCAAGAAACCCATAGTAATCGGTAGGAGAAGTCATATGCCTGAGGTTAGGCAAGTGCATACATCTTTGCCAGCCCGGGGCTCTAATTACTGAGTATGAGCTTCTGAAGACTTGAAATAACAGATTTGCTAGAATAAAGTGTATTTGCAAAAAGATCTACTTAGAGAAATGAGCTTACAGATCTGTCCCCAAGCAGTCATTTTTTTCTAAACAAGGAAACATGTAGCAGAAAACCTGTGTTTATATAATTTAAAGATCTTGTTTGTCTGAGGAGTATTGTGTACACTAAACTATTGGGGTCTATTGTTTAATTTAAACCATTTGTTTACAACAAATTTTGTCCATTCGTTTGAAAATGACATTAAACTATGATCAGCTCTTATGCTGCTAAAGTGAGTGCTTTTATTGTGCACATAAAAGTCTATGATGATTAGATGAAAGTATTCCCGAAACGCAAACACTGAGTATTCCAGGAAAAAAAAGGCCCAACAGAACAAAAAACAAACAAACAAAACACCAAACAACAAATTGCAGAAAGAAACTCCTCTGACTCCAAACCAGCACCAAAGTCTACCCTGGACAGTTTTTTGAAAGTGCTTTTAAAATGGTGAAAAGCTCTGCCTGTTCAGAATGTTAATCGTGTTCAGTGTGCTCCGCAGAGCTGTGCTGTGTCCTACTTGCCACAGCCTTTTTGCTGAAGGCAGGTCTGAGTGGGGAGGCTTTTTCACCCAGGGACTTCTGTCAGACTTGTGGGGCTCTGTGGAACTGTGGGGACACGTCACAAAATTCCGTGTAAAAGTGGAGTTGTGGGACCTGGGCCCACTTGAGTAATGAGAAAAGTGAAAGGAAGCTGGAAGGCACAAAAAGCAAACTGGCAAACTGAGACTCTCCCACACTGAGATGTATGTTGAAATGTCTGAGCCATAACATTATAGATGACTTAGTAGTAGTAGTAGTAGTAGTAGTAGTAGTAGTATGTTGCTGTTGTTCCTATTTTGGTGAAAGACTGGTCCTTAAGGTATCTTAACATATTTGAATAAAGGGTTGTTTAGATCAGTGGTTAAAATTCAAAGTGAAAGATCACTCAAACCCACACAGTTTGTCTATATCTTATTCCAGAACACTACTGGTGGGATATTTTTGTTGTGTTTTGTTTTGGTTTTTTGTGATGCGATTTATTTGATAAGGAACAAATTAAATTTAGTCTTACTTTATAACTATCTTTAATGGCAATGTTGGGTATTTTTAGAAATAGGGTTAATAAATCATTCCTAACACTAATTAAAAGGAGACTTTATTAAAGTAAAGTAGTGTCAATTTTTTTCATTCTCTCGTTACACTTAATAAAGATTTTGACAGTAAGAATGCCTGCCTATTCAGTGAATAAACAGTGTTATTTACCTTGCTGACTTTGGATTTTTGTTGCTTTTCATACATGTTAAAAATTAATCGAACTGTTAAACATCCACCTTGATTCCCAGGGTACCTTTTTCAAAGTTAAGGGCAACAGTGAAACATAAATACAGCTACAGCTTTATGGTCCATGCTCTGTATGTGCTGGGTGTGATCCTTTCAGTTCACTGCTGTAGCTCAGTTCCGGACATGGGAAATTCACTTCCCTGTGATTTTAACTTAGTTGGTCAGCTTGGGACCAGACTGATGATACCTCAGTGCCCAAGTCTGCCACAGAAGCAGCACTTCCTCATTGGCTCCCTAGGTGAGAAAACACACCCTCTCACAGGTACATAATTCTGTGAGAAATCATGTTTCATGCATGTGCTACTTGGTTTAGATATGAAAATGTGGTGTTTTCTGGTTTTACTAATGCTTTTAACAAAACACGGACGTGGATACAATATCTATAAATCAATACTTCGATATGTTGTTTTTCAGCACATAGAGCTCTGGAATTTTTCATTAAGAATGAAGGGAGTGTTAATTATAGACAGGTACGAAGCACATTATTGCTTAACTATGTACACCTTTCTTCTCGATGTTTTTCTGTCCATCTTCTTGCCTTTTGTTATTATTCCCAGTAATATCTGTGTCAACATTGTGCCAAGACTGTATTTTTTTCTGTTGAAAATCATTTGACTCCATCTGAATACTATTACAAATATGTAACAATTATACCAATGTGTATATATATACTTTGTGTAGTTTCTTATGTGTTTTCCCATCTTTTTTAGTCATACTCTACTTGAGTATTTGTATTAGAAGAATTATTGTACTAGGAGTTGTATAAGAAGTAGGGGACTTTTGGAAAGGAGATTTAATAAACATAAGGACAGCAAAATGACAGCAAGGTTTTTTGCACCACATGGTGTATTTTACCAAGATAATAGTTGTGTCTTGCTGGATATTTATATTTTATCTTTTATATAGGCAGTAAAATGTGTTTTCGTGCTGTGCAATAGCATTCTGATTCCTTTTTCCCACATTCTTTCCCCAGTTATTACTAAACCACCAAGATGCATTTCAAGCTGGGAGCATTTATCCTGATGCCTTTTATTCACCAGTCTGCAAAGCGGGTAAGAAAAGCTGTATGAGTCTAAGGTATTAACAACTGTATTTTTATGTGGAAATCCTAGAGAATTTAGTAGGGTTGAAAATAGTTATGTTGTCAGAAATGAAGTATGGCCAAAAAACGCCTTCCTGCAAAAAATATCTGCCATTTTTGTTAGTATTTTAAGCCTTTTTGTAAAACTTAGAAGGAAAACACATTTGAAAATGTTTTTAGAATGTAACTTTGGGATAAATGTAATTTAATGGGTATTTAATGGGTCAGATTACTAAATACTGTCTTGGGGAAAAACTGAGAGGACAAAATGATCTTTTTTTCTAAGTCCTATGAAAAGCCTAGTGCTAATTTTTATATTATGACTGTATTGATTTTTGCCCATCTTCCAAGAAAAGGTATTATGTAAGGTATCCTTATCCTCATTCCCCAGGCCTTCCTGATGCAGACCAGATTAATTACTAAATAGTGGCTTGGGGAAAAACTGAGAGGACAAAATGATCTCTTTTTTTTAAGTCTTATGGAAAGCCTGGTGCTAATTTCTGTATTAAGAAATATTAGTTTCCTCAGATCAGTCACAAAGAGGATAGGAGCATATATAACCCCAACAATAACAAAATAGTGTAAGACTAGCTTTCCTCTACCCTTTTTCTACTCCTACACTAACTGTATCTTGGCAAGTTTGCCTTTCTGTTGAAAAAGATGATGATGATGATGATGACATAGCCCTTCTCTGCCCTGTGGAAACTGATACCTGTCCCAAAACATGATATTTTGAGTTGGCTGCCATGCCCATCAGCTTTTCTGCCATACAAGTGAATGTATCAATTTAGTCAACAACTTCTCTGTCAACTCTTTTTATCTTCTCTGCTTGTGAGGCAGCTTTTCATTGTACTGTACCTACTCATAGTCACAGAAAAAGAGAGCAGGCACAAAATTTTCAGATGCTTCAGACCAAAATCATGGAAGGTAAATGTAGTATTTGTTTTGATAGTATAAATCATATAAAATAAGTCTCTTCTCATTAAATGGATTCCAGTTGTATCATCTGTGTGATATGAAATTGAACAAAAGTCTGTGGCTTTTTTCATTTTTCCTCAAAGAACAAATGAAATACTGATATAGTTTTATTGCAATAGGAATATTCCATGATGTGTCTGAAGACACTCACTGGTCACCATTTCTCAAAGCAAGTATTCAGTACATCAGAAGGAATTATCCTCAGCCTTGGGAAGAGGTAAGAAAATTTCATCAGCTTTTGACTTTGCTTTCAACTGCTTTCCTCACCTTCACTTGTTGCAATTTCATCCTTTGTGAAGTGTAGAAAAAACCCCCACATTTTTACATTAAAGTCTCTCCTGACATAGGAACATTTGAAATCCTGTTTTCATCTTTACCAGACAAAAAGTTGCAGTTTCCATGTAAAGTCTGTCAGTTATCTCCACTGTGGTCTCATGCTTATGATACCTTTCATAGATCCAGACTTTCAAATGCGATTGGTGATCTTGCATTCCTGTCAGATCTCCTTGAGGGTTTGCCATTTGAAAATGAGACATCTTTTAGAATTCTCACTTGTGTATTCTTTGACTTAGTCCTGATTTACTCTTGTTTATGGTCTATGAACTGTGTAGGAGGAGAGGAAAAACAATTTGTCAAAAGTGAGAGTGCACAGGAATGTCCTTCTCTCCTCTGTGTGCCTGCACAACACCCGTGGTGGCAGAGGGGGCTCACTCCTTGAATGTGGAAATGTTTATCCTCAGTCCAGAAAAACACTTCAGTACACATTTAACTTTAAGTACACAAATTATCCTGACATCAGCCACTTAATTCTATGGCCTTGGACCTATGAGGTGCTTAAAGCTAGTCACAAAAAGTGACTCCAGCATCAAGGAATGAGTGATCAACACTTTGTTATGCTATGTTCTTGGATTGTAAGAGTTTCTCACCTATATCCTCGTATAATGCACTTACATAAAATGCTCACCTCTTCTTAAAGACAGGAGTAAAATTACTGATACTGCATCAAATGGATTGTTGTTGTGTAGGCTACAGAGAAACTGGTGGCTTTCCTGTTTGGAATTGCCTCACATATGGTGGCAGATGTTAGCTGGCATAGCCTGGGCATCGACCAAGGATTTCTAAAGGCCATGGGAGAAGTAAGCCTGTATTCTTTTATTTATTAATACAACTGGATTTATTGGAATGGATAGCCTAGCTTTTGACTGTGGGGGGCAGGGTGGTGGAGAAGAGAAAAGCTGGAGACCTGTTTCAGGAAGATTTTTGGAAAGACGCAATGTCACGAATTTCATAGGAATGAAGTTGATCAGATTTGGAACCTGTAAACATTAGGGCTGCTTGGATAGTTTGTTTCTGCTCATTTTGAAAGAAACAGGCAGTTGTCTTGTTTTTCTCTTTCTCCAGATTGATTTTCACGGTTCATACTCAGAAGCTCACAGTGCTGGCGATTTTGGTAATGTTTCTGTTTGCCAATCATAGATCCTTCTGTTGGAAAAACTAGTCCTCTTCAAAACCACAGTGGGTGATTCTGGCTCTTAGCCTATGCAAGGCAGGAGCCAAGAATGGGTCATATGGACACTGTATTCCTGCCCTACCCCATAGCTTGCAAAGTCCTGCTATACCTGTCCTCATGCTCCATGTTTCAGGAGATATAATAGGGCATATAAACACTTGGATTAAAGCCAAAATGCAGATGAAAAGATGCTAGTGTTTAAATGGAGTCACTACTGTGATTTTAAATGGTAAATAATTTTTATTCTCTGGAGGTATAAAATGTGCAGCATACTTTCAGGTGAACCATTTATGTATTCTAAATGTATAACTGGAAGATCTGCCGTATAAATACAGACAGCAAAGCCATACGTGGCTTCATGGGCAATGTTATCCATGACAGACACTTAACAGGTTTAGTTTGTTGGACTATGTAGGTTTTTTTCATTCTTCCATCCTCAGGAGGAGATGTAGTGAGTCATTTTGAGCTGGACTTCAGTTATCTGGCATCAAATTGGTAAGATAATGAGGTTACCTTCTTTAATATTTATTTCTACTTATTCTGTATAATCACTGTGTTTTAACAAAATGCTGTCCTTCTTTATTTTTCTTTCAAAAGGAACCCTTGCAGCTATTTAAATTTTTCTGGGTTTGGTGTTCCTTATATACATATGTACTGTTCCCTGACATGAAAAACTGGAAGGATACAAAAAAAGGCATTTTATGTATAGGAACAAAACAAGAAAGATTAAATTATTTATCTCTGAAAGGAATTATAAGTTTTTATATATAAAATAACCAGTGAAAACATTTTGCTGGAATATCCTAGAAGTTAGTTAAATAACGCAAATGAGATTTATTTAAAGTTTTGGAAGTTGAGGATGTTGAATCCAGACAGGTTTCAAAAGCATAAAAATGAGCAGAAGATTTAGATATACACATTTTTTTTTCTCACAGTTTTTAACTGAAATAAAAAACTCATAAAAACCTTTTTTTCTGCTAATAAAGTAGGTAATTTGAGTCGATTTTGTTAAGTAGAATGTAGTTTACGTAGGTGTAGAAGACATGGTTCACTAATAAATCTCTGACACAGCTGTGTGAAATGTCTATTTGTCTAGGAGTAGATTTGGCACAACAGAGAGTTGGAGGACATCCAGTTGGAGGATGTGATCAAGCCAGGAAACCAGTGTGGGCAGTGTGGAAACACTATTAGCAGTAGCTGTAGGGGAAAGGTTCTACAGACTTTGAATCTAAACAATAGGAGAGTGTTGTGCATGGAGTAACTGCATGTGCAGTCCTGGTGTTTCTGCTATTTTTAAATCTTCATACCTTATGTAGCCTTTTGAAATTTAGAATATTTTATAGCAGGCTATTTTTATTACAGAAACTGTAATCTTTTATCAGGTGATGTGGAAAATCTGTTATAATAATACCTTCTTCTCTTTTTTAGGTATGTGCCTGTCAAAGACCTAGCAGCTATCTATAAGGAATTTTATGGAAAGGAGATCATAACTGAAAGCACAATTACTGACTGTACTTTCCTGCTGTATCTTGAACTGTAAGTTGAATAGCTTTTTCTGGGTTTTCGTAAATGAAACATATGTAGGAAAATTATGATAGCTGTTTTGAAATGCCTTATGCATGCCGGTCAGAAATATAGACCCACTACTAGATCCCAAAATCATAAAACACTTGAGTTTTTTTTAATGACTAGAATTCAAATTTGAACTGCTTAATGACTGGTAAATTAATTATTATACCACAGATGCTGAATCTTGGTTATTTAATGCATTTACACCTTTAACACATTTATGCCTATTTATTTGAGAACAACTGTGTCTTCAAGCACTACTGTATTGCAGCAAGTTAGCAATATAATTTTCACATACTGAAGGAGTAGTGCACATTGCTAAATTGGGTTATCTACATTTTATGTAGATCCTTTCAAGTCTAGGAATAATTCAAAAGAGACTTTGGATATCTGGCAGTGTATGCTTTTGAATACCCTAAACAGCCCAGCTGTATTCTCTATTTCAGTTAATTACCAATAGTTACATAGCATTTACAAAAACTGTGAATCCCTCCAAATTAAAGGCAAAAACAGAGCTTGTATCATTACTTTTTACATTACAACTTTAAAAAACATTTTAACAACCAACAGGGAAATACACTGACTTGCATAGTTTTTACTATACAGGAACCTTGAAAAGAACTGTTTACATATTTAAATACTAAGTGAAGCAAGTTTTATTTCTGAAGATTTTTTTTGTTTTTAGGCATGGAGAAAGGCTTGCTGTTTCCAAGGTTGGTCTTCTGTTTCCTTTATAAAAATGAACAGATTGCATGGAGACAGTGTAGTCCACTTACTAAATATGTGGCCTGTCTCTCAGCTTTTTCCAAGATATGCTAGTAAATCTGCATTTCTGGTGGAGAAGTTCCATGAATATTTCCTTGGAGGAGTGGATGACATGGCGTTCTGGACAAACAATATTTTTGAGATGACCAGCCACATGCTAGAGAATGGAACCAGGTATAGTGTGTGTCCTGGAATATGAAACGCAGTAGTCAAGTTTTAACACTCATTTAATTGCCCTTCTAAAGGCAGGTTCTTTCCTAAAAGAGGTGCTAAGCTTTAAATCCTCTCTTGGACAAAGGGATTTCTATGTATGTCTTTTACCTGGGTGTACAGGATTACCTTGAGTTCGCATTTCTTATGCATTCACACTCCTTTGCCCAGGCAAGCCTCTGGCATCCCCAGCTGATACTCAGCAGGGAACATTTGGAGTACTCTTTAAGACATGCTCAAGGGCCTGCTTAAAAGTTGCATAGCCATGCCCTAAAGTTCTGCCTGGCCTGGCTATCTGAGACTGCACCTTCTGGCTGCTGTCATCAGTCAGCAAAGATGTCTCTTCTGAGGGGATGTCAGATATTACCTTCAGGCACTTTAAGCAAATAGGATTACAAAAAGTAGTAGTATATATTCTAGTGTTGAAGCTCAGACCTCTACTCACAAATTAATATTTTTATACAACTAGCCTTGTACGACTCTCTTACAAATGTAGCTTTACTGTAAATAACTTTATAAGACCAACAGTGGCAATTAATCCATCCATTTATATGGAAAATATCACTGTGGCTATTTTGGGAAATTATGTTTGAAATACATTCTGTTCTGTTCTTTGCTCCAGAATGGCACTTTCATTGAAAGTGCTTTAGATTCATAGAAATAACAGGGCATGTTACATTAAGTTTCCTTCAAGAAACATGAGATTCATATAGAACCTAATCAAGGTCATTAAAATAAAATATCAGCAAGGTTTCTAGGGATTATGATGATGCTCTGATTTTGAATTTCTTGAGAAAACTGATGACTTCTAGCAGAGGAATCAGTAAGGATAAAACTTGTATTTTTAGTTTCACTTCCATTGTAGGAAAATCTTTAAAGTGGATTCTGCATATTTTTCTTTAGTGGCTGTTACCTGCCTGAGAACCCTCTGTTTATAAATTGCACAAAGGAGCACAGGGACAACCACATGTAAGTACAGCTCTGGAGGTTCAAAGGTGTAGTGGTGAAAGGAGAGTCTTCTGCTAATGTGGACAGTGAGCTATTGAAAATTAGAGATGTTTTTATTTATCTTTTTGTGTGTGAATTTGAGATTCTTGTAGCATGAATAAGTAAACTTTGTATAGGGGAACTGTGTAGAACCTAAGAGAGCCTTTTACCTCAAGTCATCAATTCAGTTATATTAATTCTTATTACTGCCCTCTTTATTCTAGCAGAAACAAACAATCAAAACATGAACATCACAAGAATACAACTTCTTTGCTTACAGAATCACTTGAGAAGAATATAAACTATACAGAAAGAGGAGTTCACTTCAACATGCAGTCTTGGGCAACAGTAAGTGAGAAGTGACAGACGTGTCAGGTAAAATTCAGCTCTACATAAAATTGTTTTAATTTCTGTCTGAAATGCTGCACAATGGAGCAGGGTCTCAGGACATTAGCAATAGCCTCTGACTTCAAGGAGATTACAGTATCATTGTTAATCTATATATGTACATCATAAATACTCAACTTTTACACTTTGTTCATTGTATAGTGAAGTTAGAACACATCTTGCAGTGGCAAAAAGGACAAAATATATCTCTAGTATTTACATGTTACAGAATTAGTTGATCACTTTTTTGGGGGATTAAGAACTCCCAGCAAAGCATCACAGTGAACAATTAACACTGCTCCATTTAGTGCATACAGATTTTTGTCTCTTTCTAAAATGGTGGTTATGACCTGATTCAGACTCTTCTTAGATCCATGTGGTGATTTCCACTGTTGGTGGCTTGGTTTTTGAGGTGTCGCAAAATGTTCTAGAGTTTCAGCCTGTGTTTTAACCATTCTTGTGTCTCCTTATTTTTATTTCAGAATTCCCTCCGCTTGATGAACCGTCCTTTTACAACCAATATCTGGAGAGCATTAGCAGCTACACATCAGAAATCTTCTAAGCACATCTCCAAGCCAGTAGCTTCATATTTTCTGACCTCACCCTATGCTAGACTTGGATGGTTTGTAATATTTTTCCTCCCGCCTCCCACTTAATTTTTGAAAATTTTGAGTATCCACCAAAATATTATTGTTTATTCTTCGGATACTCTTAAATGTGAAAGTCCAAATCAATTAGATGTACAAATCTGGCGGAATGGCTTATGTTGTCTGTTCAGAACAGCAAGTTAGCCCATAAGACTTTTCTTTCAGATGTTGATCAAGCTCAGAATGGAAGGAGCCAAAATTAAAACCAACATTGGCTCTAGTTATGAACAGTATGAGAACTATGTTACGCTTCTTTTAGTCGTTGGTTGATGTTTTTGCAAAATTAATTGGCTGTTGTGAGTTGATTACTGATGATGTGAGTGTTCTTGGAAATGCTCAAGACTAGTAGGCAGTTCAAAGATTGATTCAGGACAGAGAGAAGCATATTCTCTCTTCTTTCCAGAGAGGTTCTAGCTTGACCTGCAACAGGGGAGAGTACTAAAATAAATTTGCATTGCTGCTCATCTTGCTTCACTTGTTATGACTCAAAATTTGGATTTAATGTTTGCATTTACTTCACACCAGCTAAATTAGCAGTAGTTCTTTTCTCTCCACATTCCCTCACTAAACTCCAACGTATTACTGAAACCTGTAATCCCTTTGCTTATCTCCTTTTAAATCCATCAATTAAATCAGAGGCTCAGTTTAAAAGATACTTAATTTCATCTTTTGTATTCTGTGTCATATGCAAGCAGCCCTTTTTCATGCTCCTTGCTATGAAGGCTCTCAGGTGCCTTGTGTCAGTAAAAAGCAGTTCCTACAGATCTCAGATGCATTAATGGAAGATGAATCTTGAAGGATCTAGTTTTATTTAATCCAAGAAAACACAAATCAAATATATAACATGAAAAACGCTGCATAGATTTTTACAAAACTATATCGGGAAACACAGGTCTTGGTTTACCTGAATTAAAATTATTTATTTTCCACTGATGTTGTGGTAGTCTGGAAGCTAATGCTGATTTTGTTGACTCCCTTGCTGTACAGGGCAATGATCTCAGCTGACCTAAACCAGGATGGATATGAAGATTTGGTGGTTGGAGCACCAGGGTACAGCACCATGGGCCGTGTTCAGATAGGACGGGTGTATGTAGTCTACTGTAACCAGTCAGGTTTACCACGGGAGGACATGGATTTGGATGGGAAAGCTGACCAAGTACTACAAGGTCATCAGGTGAGGGGTCAAATCAGATATTTGTCTCTTAAATTTTTTGGACTGAAAATGTGGTAAATTTTGACTGAGAAACGGTATCGTTAATGTGTATGAATATTATTCCTGAAATTCTCCTCCTGATTAAAGGATGTCATATGCTTTTCAAGAAAAATAACCATTACTAAAGTCACAGGAACAATTAAAGCAGTAGTGATCTGTAGGTTCACTTTCATTACTGTGCCAAATAAGCAGGTATTAAAACATAATTTGCCCTTGAATAAAAGTGATGTAATATCTCTGTACATTCCCAATATATCTCGTTCAGGTCCCTGCATTTAAAAAATATTGTGATTTTCCCTTCTTTTTAAATATAATTATATTAATTCAATATGTTTCAATTCCTTTAAAGCTACTTTTCTAATTAATTGGTTAATTCTCACAAAATAATTGTTTGTCTTTAGTAAGAGTGCAATGTGTTTAAGAAAAATAAAAGAGGAAACTGGGATTTGACATGCTGGTGGCTGGCTTGTAACTAAGCAGGATCAAATGACCTTTTTGAGTAATAAATACAATCCTCTGTAGAAAATATCTTTACTCACAAAGAATAGAATAGAGAGAAATGAGATACATTTCCTTTTAATCTGTTTCTGTGGTTATAAACTGTGGATTAATAACTGCTGTCTTCTTATGTAATGTTTTAGTGTTTTACAGCTATTGCATCAACAAGAAAGATCATAAGCTTAATATCCATGGTGCACTGGGCTCAGAAGAGGAAATAGCAAAATGGCACTCTGTTGTGTTATCTTGTATTTTAACACCTCCACATCCACAAATAGAACAGTTGATTCTGAGTTAGTGTATTGGTATGATGGTTATTACTTGGGAGAACAAAAATTCTTTGGATAGGTTTTTGTCATCTGTTTCCAGTTCTTCCTTGTGCAAATGTGCATTAGGTTTTTATGGTTTTGTCTTGAAAACATTTGTTATTTTCCTGAGATCAATCCCTTTTCTTTTAGCCTTCAGGAAGATTTGGTTCTGCCTTGGCAGTCCTGGACTTTAATGAAGATGGAGTGCCTGATCTGGCAATTGGAGCACCTTCTGTGGGATCCCAGTTTCTTACTTACAAAGTAAGTTTGTTGTTTGGTTTTATTTGAACAGTGAAATGAGAGTGAGAATTTCTGTTGTTGCTCAAGGTGACATTGTAATTTAAACACAAAAGTTTATAATCTTTGTGGATACTTTGACTAGAGCAATGAGAGCTATCCGTATTTCCCTTTCAGTGGCCTTTTTTGCACATTAAAAATCCAAATCAGATTGTGACTTTGCAGCACTGATGTGTTGGAAATGTAAGGGGCCATTCATGAAATACAAGTGTACTCTTTTTGATTAGGAACTGACAGTCTGGAATGAACCTCATGGATCAGTGAGCTTTGTCATATGCTGTCACAGGCTGACAGATGATAGCTAAAATGTGATATGAACACAGACACACTTGCTAAAATAATCAATTTACAGAGGCTTAATGACTTGCAGTTTACCATTTAAGCCCACATAATGGTCCCTGAGTATTTTCAGCTCAAGCAAACTGAAAGGTAAAATGTTTTGATTTAAACCACATCCATTAAGCTTAAAACTCTTCAGAATTTCAGCTACTAACTTATCTGTCTAAAAAAGAAATTAGATAATTTAAGTTTTATGTTGACCCACTATCTTGAAAAATTGTGTGCATCTGTTGTGCCTGGCACTGTTTGCCATTGCATTAAATAATAGTTATCAAAATTTGAGCCACCTGAGTGGATGTGTAACAAATACAAATATGCACTACACTGTCCTTGCATCTTACCCACAGTATGATGAAAATGTACTTCTCTAGTTTGTTGCTGGGTTACAGCCTTACCCATTACAACATGAATATTCTTAGGTTTGGGGTAGAAAAGACAGAACTGTGAGAAGGCTGTGATAAGAAAAATGCAGTTGTATTAATAGTCCCTGCAGAACTGTTCCACTTCTTCTGATTTGCCTTGGATTTTGTACCTGGTACTGACATGCAGATGCTCTCATGCCATATTTGGTTTTCCCGCTGTTTAGGGTGCTGTGTATGTCTACTTCGGCTCTGAGGGAAGAGGCTTGGCATCTCAGCCAAACGTTACCATAACTTGTCAGGTATATTGATAGCATATAATATCCTGTATATGTTATGCTGTTAGCCAGGCCAACACAAGTCTACACAAGTGGGAGGTGAGATAAAGGGGAAAGGGGCTCATGGGCTTGAAAAAAGAACATTAAAATCAAATTGCAAGGGAATTTAGACTGATGGGGTTGGAGCAAGCAGGTGCTTGCCTAGGTTAGTTTTATGTGGAAAGACATTTGTACCTCAGTGCAGGGGAGGCAGCAAGGTGAACAGAAAGATGCATAGCCAAAAAAAAAAAAAAAAAGCCAAAACTCCCCAACTAACCAATCCAAAAACCCTCTAAGAAAACAAAACTGAAGCCAAGGAGTGGGCAGGTAATTTAGTTAGCTCTTTAGATGTGAGTTGCTCTATTTTGTTACAAAATTGGTGGTTTCAGTTCTATTTCAGGCTTTAACTGTTTATTGCAGGATTCCTACTGTAATCTTGGTTGGTCCCTCCTGGCAGCTGATGTTGATGGGAATGGAAATGCTGATCTGGTTGTGGGCTCTCCATATGCACCTGGTGGTGGGCAGCAGAGAGGATTTGTGGTTGCATTTTACTCTTATTTCAACAGGAGTGACCAAGGTAATATTTATTGAGTAAATTAGCCCTCCCATATTTTATGTGACTGTTCATTTGTTCCTAATTAATCATGGGATAATTCAGGTTCAAAGGGATCTCAGGGAGTGTCTAGTCCAGCCTCCTGCTCAATAAGAGAGATCTGTGAAGCCAGATCAAATTGCTCAGGGCTTTGTCCATTTGGGTCTTAAAAATCTCTAATGACAGAGATTACACAGCCACTCTGGGCAGCTGTTCCACTTTCTGGCAGTCCTCATAGGGAAAAAATGTCTTGTTACAGCCAGTATGAACCTTTTTTGTTTCAGTTTATGCTCATTTTCTATTGTCCTCCCACCATGCACACCAGGCACAGAAGGCATGGAATACCCCTACTAAATTGGCTCCAGTTAATCGACATCTTTCCTGTTACTGAACCATGTATTATAGGTGTGGTGTAGGGAAGATTAAAGTGGGAACAATCATCTCTTTGCCATGCTCCTGGTTATATAGCCTGGTACACTGTCGGCTGTTTGCTGTCAGAGCCTCACATGCCCACCATTATCTCTAGGGCCTTTTCCACACACCTTCTCCCAGCCTATTATCACTGCAAGGGCATCTCCTTTCCTAGGGTCAGGCTTTGCATTTGTCCTCACTGGATTTTGTGAGGTTCCTGCCAGTCTGTTCCTCTAGCCTGCCTTGGTCCCTCTGAATGGTGGCTCCCCACAATCTCCTTTCATCTGCCAACTGCACGAAAGGCCATGTTGTTGCCTTCTCCAAATCAATTATTATAAAGTGTTTAACAGGATGAGTCCAAAGATAGATCCCTGAAGGCATTCCACTTGTCACAGGCATTCACAGTACAACCCACTGTCTGCTGCCCTGTGGTGGTGATTGTCTCAACCAGTATTTTCCCATCTGGTTCTCCACCCATCCAGATGCAATGTCCCAGCTTGGATAAAAGAACATTGTGGGACACTGTGTTGAAAGCCTTGCTAAAGGAATGGATTCAGCTCTGTGTTGGGCAGGCTCACTGCTCTTCCTTGGAAAACTGTAAATGTACCTTAGAAGATGAATCTTTATCATTCTGTATACTCCTTCATATGGCTAAAGAGGAACACTACAAGTGAACACAGTTAATGAGTACAGGTGATAAGGAGTGTTGTGAATGAGGGACAAAATGTCACACTTGGAGCTAAATAAAGTTAGTAAAGGTTGGGCAGCTTTGTCACAATCATGTAAGTGAGATTTCCAATAATGCTTATTTTTTGTAGCTTATTAGAACCCACAAGGGTTCTAGAACCCACTGCTGACTGACATTTTTGTAAAACCAAAGCACAGAATGAGTTATTTAAATTATAGATAGAATTATTTGAAGCTCCCACACCCACCACCTTTGAAGAATTACAAGTTCTGATAAATGGTGACTAGTTTAGGGCAGGCTTGACTGGTAGCTTCCATGTGCTTTGTGTAGGCTATTGGAAGGACTGAGAAACAGGCTGTGTCAAATAAAGGCTTTCACCAGCCAACACAGCTACAGGGTGAGCAAGTGAAGTCAGCAGTTACTGGTGCCATATCATGGACAGTGTAACTTTGCTTACAGAAACTTGTTGTCATAGGATGAATCAGTAGAGGATTGCTAACGGATTTTTCTATGCCAGGGTACACCAAGATTTAATTAATATTTTTCTGGTCTCTCAGAATTTCTGTCAGTACAGGATGCCAACTGGATGGTGCAGGGAGAAGAAAATTATGCTTGGTTTGGATTTTCACTTGACAGATGCCAGCTGGAGAACGTAACATTACTACTGATTGGTAGCCCTACATGGAAGAGTTGTGCTAGGTGTGTTGTATGTGAGAGCTTGATCTCTCCTCCATTCTGCTCTACTTCCACAAGGTTTAATTTTTTAATAGATTAGAGTTCCAGCTTTTCAGAAAGTTTCCTCTTTGTCCTGCTTAGATTATATTTATTAAATTAATTTTTCTATTAAATTCATATTTTATACTGTCACACTTCCTTATGAAGATGGGGGCTTTAGACCCTTTGTAGAGCAGGTCTTTGTTATTTAGAGACACTGAAGAATTTCTTGGGTTTCCTTGGGGAGAGGGGCCACAAAAATGCTGACAGGTAAGCACGCCTTTAGTAATTGTATAGATAACTCTTACTTTGAGAGAGCATTTTTAAAAGCAAACCAAAGACAAAAATGTATTGGATGATAAAGAATTGGATAGACAGGCCAAGTCTGTGCTCTAAATGTTGTGTAACTAGTTAGGACACATATGGGAATTACTAAAATAGATTTCTAGAATTTGGCAGGCGCTATTATTCCAAAGTAAAAGGGGACAATATTTTAAGAGTAGCATTCCTAGGTGAGTGTACAAAAATATGTTGTTACAAACCACTATATTTTGCATTGTAATTCAAGATGCAATCCCTTCTCATCGGATGCCGGACAGAGTGTTGGGAAGGTGTACGGGTACAACCCACCGAGCACAGAGCGCTGGTTTGAGGTAACTGGAGACAAGGTAGGGGCTCCTTCTTCACTATGGGACCTTATGAATAATTTGAAGTGACAATCTGTAGAAATTACATAGGTGTTTTAATCTAACAGGAGATGAGCCGAATGGGTTTGTCTCTGGCCAGTGGTGTGATGTCTGTGGCTGGGAACACAAGGAGAGTTTTGGTGGTGGGTGCACCTACTGCAGGTATGTCCTGAAAACTGGAAGCCATTTCTACCTTAGCATGTTTGTTTCTGTATGACCAGAGGATGAATACAATTTCTAATTTAGAAAAAGGACCTTTAAATTGCCATGTAATTAAAAAAAAAATAAATTAGAAATAATCACTGTAATTACCTTTAAGTGTCTTACATGTAGAGTCTCTCTACTGTGCCTCTGTTTCAATGTGGGTTTTTCCATCCTTAAAATTGGTTTCACAGTATTACTACCTTACATTGTTTATGTAGCAGTGATTTGCTAGTAGACTGCATATTTCTTGGAATTAAAATAACACAGTATTTTGTCCTCATTCTGGCAGCAGACAGTAAGGAATTGGGAAAGTCAAAATGCAGAAATCTATCTTTAACTTGAATGCATTTCTCCCCATGTCCTATGGCTAACAGATTTTTCCCTGAGCTAATTAGTGTTAATTCCATATAACGTTTGATATTATTTGATAAATTAGTTTGTCCATTTTATGTAATGCCAGTATTACCTGCTCTTAATGTACTGTAGGTATTAAATCCGAGTTCCTATGTCAGATGCTCAACTTCTGTTACTTTTTTTTCCAGACAGCCTGTATAGGATTTCATTTATGTCCTCAGTGCTGCATCAAGCTGGACTGGCTCTGGTATATGACCTGACAGATAGCACCAAGCCTTCTTTGCTTAGCACATTGAGTGGGGACAGGAGGTTTTCTCGTTTTGGAGGAGACATATACTTAAGTGATCTGGATAACGATGGACTAGGTAATGCTTGATGAATCTAGATCAGAGCTGAAGTGTTTAACTTTTAGCAAAAGGAGGACCGCTCACCTACATGTTCATACAAGTGCTAAACACAGTTTGCTTCCCCAGTTGACTTGTACTAGTATTCCATCATGCCTTACGGAGAGGCCTCTCTAAAATCCCAAGCAACTCAGTCAGAAATTGAAACATTTTACTTGCCACCATTAATAGGAGTTGTGACATCTGGAGGTATGTAAATGCCAGCTCTCTCTTGTGTTTTGGCTTAGCGTTCATTTCCTTCTGATGTGTTATGTCATCTTTGTAATACCTGCAGATGAAATGATTGTGACATCCCCACTGAGAACTAATAGCATCTCCTCAATACTGTTTGGTGGGGCAGCTGGCCGTGTTTATATTTACAACGGAAAGCAGGCATCCTCAGGGAATGTGACAGGTCACTGCAGATCATGGATATCTCCCTGTCCTGAGGACTGGGTAAGAATACACGAAAGGTAAAATTAGGACATGAGTACATCCAGTACAAACATGCTGTGCATTCTGACTTGGGTCCACAAAACAAAAGGTTTACTCATGTTTCTGAATCTCTGCAAATTGGCTCCTCCTGTTCATTCTGACTTTGTCGTTTAGGAGCCAGGATTATTGTACTGGTCTTCTATTCCCCTAGCATGGTTCTCTCAACTGAATTTTTATTTTGTTGTTTTTTCTTCTTCAGGCACAGTATGTCCTTATTTCTCCTGAGGTAAGTAAACAGAAAACAAACTACTGAAAATAAAATGTCCTTTTTAAAAAAAACCAAGCAAACTAGCAGCATTATAACAAGCAATGTTATTTACAGGAACTATCAAGATTTGGGAGTTCTGTTATCTCTGTGAAATCTGAAAGCAAGGTGAGAAAAATTACCGTTGTCAGTTGCTTCGTAACATCTTCCTACCTCACTTGCAAGTACTAGCTAGCTAACACCTCACATGCATCTTAGTTGTAGAAACCTTAAGTGCTTCTTAAGCATATAACATAGTTAATTAAGTAATTCTCTGAACCAATAATTAAAACCATTTTATGGATGAGCTATGGAGTTGCCAAAATTTTGGAACGTGAATTGAAAGAAATCACTTTAAAACGGCCTGAAATCTAAACTGCTTGGGACTTTGCTGAAAGGTTGCATGGTAAATGGAGTGTAGGTGCCAGCTGGCTTTACTGTTCATGCCAGCCTGTATGCAAAGTGGATACTCAGCTATGAATGGCACCCTAGCATCCCTCTCATTTAGTCTTTACAGGCTTGCTGTCCTGGCTATCTCTTGCAGTAAACACCATTCATGTCAAGTGTTTCCAAGCATAGGGAGATCCAGTTACCGGAATGATTTTGGATATGTCTGTGTACCTGCTTCTCTTTGTTTCACTCAGATGCCCGTTATTTTTACCAAATGTCAATCCCTAGGTTTGTATGATGCACTGAGGAACCTTTTTTTCAGCTTGAAGGTTACTTAGTGCTTGTTCAGCTGTTCTCCTTACTCTGACATCACCTCTGTGAGCACTGGTGTTCTCTGTGTGAGTACTGAGGAAGCCTCAGAAGTAGGCAAAGGAGGTACACAACAGGTCTTCAATAAATGGTGTTTAACTAACTTCTTGCTGTTAAAACATGCAATGGAGAAACACCTGGAAATGTAAATTCTTCTCAGCTAGGCTAGGGTGGATAATCCAACACCTGAAACACAGGCATTGCTCAGTGCAAATGAGACCGTTTTTCAAGCTGTTGTGTTCCATTGCTATGGCACCAATCCAGTACCCACTCCAGCTTCATCTGTATTGATCTTAGCCCTGAGAAACAGTTTATATTTCCAAGACTTATTTCATTGGTTCCAGCTTGCTCCAGTTCCCCAAATGAAATAAAATCTGTTTGCCAAATTGCTTTGTTAACTGCTATTCTGATGAGGTGGGTTGCTCTCTTATTTCTCCTCATCACATTTCTGTATGACACTGATGAGATGGACTAAATCTGCTTTCCATTATAGAAGCTTAAGGCAGCCACACACCTGCAGCTGCATTTTGCTAACCCTTGCTCTGTATCTCTGCAGAAAGAAGTTGTAGTGGCAGCAGAGAGAAGTTCTGCGAAAGCTCGACTTGGTGGAAGGCTTTTTGTCTACTCACTCTGAAAGTTCATGGCAGCCTTTAAGACCAGGGCACAGCTGGTCTTTTACTGAAGAATCTCTGTAGTATCTATGACACTGTCCTGAACCCACACAAACCAACAGACCCCAAGTCAGCAAGCTTTTGATGAATTCTGTTGTAGGCAGCAACATCACTTAACCTAGAACAAGCCAGCTGGTCTGAAAACCTTTTAGAGGCTGAAGTGAGCAGGTAGCTAGATTTTTGACAGTAGTATTTGGCTGTATAAGGAATGTTCAGTGGTCACCTTCTTTACTGGTCAGATATGAGTATTTTCTTGGCAAAACCAGGAAACAGCAGCATAATTTACAATTCCTTGTATACTGTGATAAAGACAGGTGTTCTAAGTTACGGAAAGTTACCGTCAAAATAACAAGCATGGAGGAGGGGCAGCTTTAATCCTGACAGAAAAGTGTGTGCCAATGAACAGGACTCTCTCTGTCTCTAGCAAGTCTTGATTGAGGGTGTAGAGCAGCTGGGATCTCATGGGAAGAAAAGAACAAGCAAGTTTTAGGAAATACTTTCTCTTTTGCAATTGTGGCTGACTACTCTGATACGCTTTGTGTCTTCATGTAAAATTCCATGACCATGGTAACTCAGAATTGTTAACTGCTTTTATTGTTAACAGTATTGTCTTCAACTATTAACACTAGTTTTGTATGTTGCAGGTTTAACAAGAGCATGCATTATCTATTAAACAACTTGAACAGCAAAATGTGATGATACTATTATTACCAACCCTAGTCCGTAGTCACATATGTGTATGTACTTTCTCTCTCTTGCCTCCTTCACAAATGCAAAGCGTTATTTTTATTATAAATAACACAAGTTCGTGGAATAGCACAGAATTCCAAAGGTTGTACTCCAAAATAAAACATCTCAACCTACCTTTCTTAGGAATTTTTCTCAGGGATGTTGCTTTAAGCAAATCAAAAAAAGCAAGGTGAACATTAGCTTGATGTATAATGTATTCTGACATCGGTTTTGTGGATTTGCCCAAACAGCAAAACCCTTTAAAAAAATTAAACTTTGAACTTCATGAAAGAAGTTAATGGATAGGACTGGGAGCACAGTACTTACCTTATAAATCTGTGAAATGTGGTGTGAGGCAAAACAAGCAGTGCACTTGTAAGGATGGCAGAATAGAGTTTTCCTTTTTAAATGAAAACTGATGAAACCAGTATGTTCTGTAGCAATTCCATTCTGAACATAGACCTTCCACTGGCTTTTGCTTTTCCTATGTATGATCTCAAAGTAATTTATTTTACTGCATCTGACTGCATTTTGATTACTTGAATTATAAGAAAAACATTAAACATTTGCATATGTCTGTAGAGAGAAAAGGCAGTCTTGTAAAAGACCTGTCTTTCTCTCTGTGCTTTTATTGTGCTTTAAGTCAGTTATGTACAGGAAAAGGAGTCAAAAGGAGTTTACAGAAACCTCTCTGCACAAAAGCTTATGTGAAAGCTTCTCAAACAGCTGCACCCACATATTTCAGTTCTGGCCTCATGCAACTACAACTTGGTTGAAAACATCAGCATCCATGCCTTTTCACACACCGAGCTGTCAGCCAAGGTATATGAGCCCTTGGTTCTTCTACTGGATTGTTCAGTTTAGAGCGTTTTTACAGCTTCACCTGCTAAGCCAAAAGACTGCAAAAAAATTCAGCTAAAAAACCCCATTAACTTTCTCACCTTCTTGTGCCTTTTGCATCTGTAGTTGAAAGTCACGTACAGAGAAAGAACTGTTTGAAAATAATTACATACAACTGATTTTAATCAAACTGGCATCACAGGCTTGGACAACTTTATGTACCTTTTTATTTTCGTCTTTGACTCATTAGTCCCAAGTAAAAATGTTCACAGCTACAGTTATTGTTTTTCCAACTCCTGCCAGTACAGTGACTTATCTGGTGGCACCTAAGGAGCTGCTCACTGTTACAGCAAGGTTAAAAAAACCTAAACAAGAAATGGGCAGTTTATTACTTCCTTTAAAAGGATTTCACGCTCCCTCTATGGACTGAGAGAAACCAGTGGAGAACTATGCCCTCAGAGAGAAGTGCTAAGAAAAAACACAAACAGTGGGCATAAGGCTTCTATTCCTTCCTTCAGTCTATCACAGGATAGCAGGCTTCCACACCCTTTACTAACCTGGCTACTTACTGTGGTGCAGGCTAGTCCATCATTTGTCTTGGAGAGAAGAGAGAGAGCATAGCCCAGTTAGCAGAAACTAACAACCCATCTGTTGATTTTTAGCAGAATTTGAATCAGTCCTCATGACAACAGGAGGAGTTGTTAAACTGCAGCTGTATCAATGCATGGTTGAAATACTATCAGGTGGCAAACACAAGTGGGCATTATCCATAAGTCTGCTTTCCCTGTTCCTAAAATTGCATGTTTTGGGCCTAAATTAATTGTTAGGGAATAACCAAGATATGTAGCTACATTTCAAAGCCTGTTATTGCTCATGTAAAATAAGGGAAACTATTATTTCTGGTTGCTGCCAATTCAGTAGTCATGCTTCACAAAAGATGCAGGTATGCTTTTTGCTTTGGAAAATCTGTTCTCTGCAATTAAACAGGGCTTAAAAATCCATTTAAAAATCCACTCTTGGGGTGGATTTTTCTTTCACATTTGAAGTCTGATTCCTTAATCTGCAGCTCAGAACCCAGAATACTTGATGAATGCTGACTGCTGTCATCCTTTAAGCAAAAAATTCTGTTCTCTGTAAGAAGGGCCATTAAGCAAAGAAGTATTTGACGGAAACACATAAAATGAGAATGCCCAAAAAATATGTATGTGATACAGAAAACCAGTGGAACACACGTGGAGTGGAGATTAGACTACTGTGTAAAGCATGTTGCTGTTTTCCCTGGTGTTCCTCTCCTTTCACGTGTAAGAATTAAAAATCTCACTGTACTTTTTTTGGCACAAAATATATTTTAAATTAGTAAGTTTGGAAATTCTTGTAGTTTTCAGTAAGGAAGAACAAGTGCAAGGAAAATGTCCAAAGTCCACCCTGTAACAACAGAAGTCTCTTAATTCCTTATGTTCCTATTGGTTTGGTAATGTTCTGCTCAGCCCAAACGTTTCTGCTTTAAGGCTGTTCTTTATCTCCACTCTTCCAGCTGATGGTTGGGATTTTTTCAAAACTGCAGAAACCTAAGCAAGAACAAAATAGCCTGTGACTACACGAGAAGCTGATCTGTATGCAGCAGAAGGAAATAAAGCTTCACAGAGGCCAAAACTCTGATTTTTTTTCCCCTTATTTTCGGAACAGTGTCTGTGGCTTCTCCCTTCCTGGACTTGGTTTTGAACAACACATATGGATAATCCAGTTAATTGCAGCCATAGTCAACAATCCACAACAAACTATTTCCATTTACCTCTTAGTGACAAAGGAGGAGAGGTAAGAAGGGAAGTTTATCCAAGTCTCCCTTCTTTTGTCAGTTGTAGCAACTTAACTTTTGAATCCATTAATACTTCCACTATAAATATTAGAGTGCACACCAGAGGCAGACAATACAATTCCAGGAGTCCACGAAAGGGTAGTCAACAGGGAAATGGACTCATACATGCTAACCTAAAGATGGATCTCCTTGGAAATCTTTGTACAGCTTGCTACCATCAGCATCAATGACAAAGATAGCTGGCATGCATATGAGGAGCTATCACAAGCCTCAGACTGATAGTCTGGCATTGCTCTCGAGAGAGATGTTACAGCTAGCACTTGTCCTCATCCTCCTTTAGTCTTTTACATGGCAGGGACTATAGATCCATAATTAGGATGTGGGTGGGAGGACAAGGGCAGCATTTGTTATGTGCCTTCCTGTGAACAGACTGGTGTGGCAGCTGAGAAGGCAAATGAGGGCTGCTTCTACCATGAGCCTCAGCTTTCCTTGGGCTGCCAGGTGAAAGTAAATACAGCAAGCCTCAGAACAGCCTGCAGCTTCACTTCTGGCCACTGCTGGGGCTTCCCACCTCATTCAATCCAGCTAGGAGCACTTTCTCTGTCAAAGACCAAGGCCTGAGTTGAATTCCTCCATGCTTTGTGGCCTACTCCTCTAGAACAGCTTATTTCCTCCTTTAGAAATGGACTGTACATGCAGAGTGTGAGACAGAAACCCTGGCCAGCCATACATACGTGAGGAGGTAGTGGAGGTTCTAGGTGCCGCCCAAGGAAGGAAAGTAAGCGTCGCCATATCAGACCACTTCCCAGAAACATAATCCCCGTCACCAGCCAAAATATCCTGGGGTCCTACTGACAGAATGGTCCCATTAGTCATGCAACCATCTCTTCACAAAAGGGATGACCCAATGATAATCCCCACCTTTATAGGAGGAAGCGGTAAACTCCCTACTACCAACAGCCAAGCCCCACCTTGGGAAAAAAGCTGTTTAGGAATCACTGTACTGTATTCTGTTACTGTCCCATGCAGTTTTCCTTCCTTCATCAGAAAGTTTGAAAATTCAACTCTTATATTTAATTGATTATATATTATATATTAATTCAACTCTTATATTTAATTGATTTGAAAAGGAAGAAGTCTTTGCTTCGTTTGTTTTGTTTTAAAGCTGGCACTTGCAGTTTTGAAACTGTACCCCGCAGTTTGTACCTCCTCCTCCCTAGTTTAGGTATAAACATGTATTGAGAGTAGAGTATTTCCTCTGGTCTGCTGAAAACGCCCTGGCTGCTTGCCAGATACCCTTGGATCTGGAAGACAAAGCCGGTCTTTCCAGAACAGTTGATCATTAAAGAAACCTTAATACTACTTTATAGTCAATCCTCATACAATCAAAAATTTACCTTCCCATTACTTTTCCATGGATGTGGAAAAAAGGCTACAATACTGTGCAGTTAGCCATGCAGTCATTTGCTTACAAAAAAAAGTGACTTCATGAACACATGAATCACTGGAGCTTTGTCTGTGGAAAGAACGAAGGTGTACCAAATTTAAAATGCACTATAAGAGCAGGGCCCACATTTCATGCTCAAAACAGCACTCGTTCCTTACCTCTTCAAGAGATGACTCCAAGTTCATACCAAATGCAACTCCTATGAGGCCAAAAAGAGAGACGGAGAAAGTCCCCATAGTCAGCTGCAAGTTCAGCCTCATCATCACATTACGGTGGCTAAAGAAGGGAGAAACATCTGTAAGGGGAACCCATAAATTGATCTGCTGCCTAAATTCTCAAATTCCATACAGCATACACTAAAATAAAATAGTGAAAGAGAAGTCATGCTGGAATTAGGCAACCCAATGACAAAAGATCATGAAACAACAGTACAAAGATGCTACTGTTTTGACATTGCTACATCAGGATACCTCTAAGGCAGCAGGTTCTACCTAATCATCATTAGACTTGCCAGCATCTCTCACTTCTCAGAGGTGTATATACACAGAGTAACAGTAAATTTCTGCTGAAGTTTGTGTCCTCTCACCACTAAATTTATATGCCCATATTCACAAGAAACAAAAATTTATTGTTAACTTGCAAATTAATACACTTTACAAAAAAGTAGTTGGTAAATGCTGCAGGCTATAAACCTGAGCCTCTTTGGGAGAATCCCATATTCAAATCTCCACAAAAATATTTTTGTTGTTTCCTGATACAGCATCCACTAATTGCTTCTACAGATAACTGTTCAGTAAAGAGGATAAAGAATATTAAACACCAACCTCAAAGACAGAGTCCTTGCAAATGCAAGCTACAA